ATGTTGCTTAGTGATATCCCATCGTTTATGTAGCCATTGAATCTTACTACATATATTTTCCAGCATGTTTCAGGAAGGTGTGAGACCTTGTTGGTTTTGCTTTGTGTCACCAGTCGAACAAATCGAGGTGGCATCTTTGGATGATCTCTATCTCCTCCTGGTGGATGCAGACATGACGCTGGTTGCTATAATCAATGTCTTAAGCTGTGTGAATCTAGATAGTAGATATTATATAATATATATATATATGATATACTGGATATGTGTTATTCTGTGTTTATTTGTGTATATATATATGTATCATAAACATTTTTTCAATGTTCCTCCGATTTGATTTCTTGGATGATTCACCAACCATGGGATGGTTTTTCAGATAGCGCAACGGTCCAGCTCAAAATGATAGGGGGAAATGATGGGAAGTTCATCCCAAATGATGCATTGTTTTCATGAATGGCAAGTGATTAATTCGATTTTCTGATTTCTCATACCAGGTAACCCACTAAAATGTCTACTTTGAGATTTGTTGAATGATATTCCCACGTTGACATCTGGATATTTTTGGCATATTTCTCTGGCTCTCAGGACATTTCTCAGCCCAGTTCATCCACATCTGCTCTTTGATCTGATAGATCACCGCTTCGTTCCCAGACTTCACGGTGTCGCTCGGTGCCGAAGGGGCTTGAAATCTGGGACGTTTCTCAGGGGATCCCCAAGACTATGGGGTTCAATGTGTTTCAATACTAAGTCATGAAGTCATGGTCATCCATGACTTGGATGATTTGGGAGTACCTCCATTTTGGGAAACTCCGTACATTGGTTGGTGTGGAACCCGGTTCTTGCCTTCCAGTCCTAGTTTTTGTTACACTCTCTTAGGGGACTAGTTGGGCACCTTATGAACATGAACATATTGGCAGAACATGTAGTGTACCCCCAGCTGTAGCCATTGGGGAAAATTATGATGGACCAATGGGTTGAGTGGTATTTTCAGACAAACCCATATCTGTAGCACCAGTCATAGTTGGTTCTTTTCATGTTCTTTCTCTATCTTCATTACTGTGCCTGCCGGGGAACTTCCGGACCATAATTGTTCCCTGGGTGTCCGGACCACAGGACCACAGGCCGTGACAAGGTTACCACTGACCCTCTGGTAGTATAACTGTCAGAAGGATGGCCCTGGAAAATCTACCAGAGGCAGTTAGTTTCCTGCAGAATGTGTAGTTTCCTCTTGCCATGTTAGAATACTGGGTATCTACTTGTTCTTGTCTTTTTTTGCTGTTATGCTTTAGTAATCAAACATAGCAACAGACAACCCCCCCATGTTTAGCCAGTAGTCCTGGTATCCAAGATTGCCCCCATCCAGGTCTGGGGACGCCGTGCGGAGGGAGACATCACGCTAGAAAGCAACTTCCGCGCGGCCCCACCCGTGGCGGATTTTATGGACCAACCACCATGGAGCCTTGGGATATGACGCCCGGAACATGACAATCCCAGAAGATTTGGTGTTTAACACGGTGATTTAAGCATCAAAAACGGGTTGTTTATGGTTATTTTCCATTGATATTCCTGACATGTGGATATATGCCCACATAGCTTCTATTCATTTTTGGGCCCCGAAAATGAATATGTACAGTAAGAAAGGGGGATGAATGATGCAAACAGGTAAATATGATTGGGCATGCCACGCAACGCCAAAAATTGGGGACTGGAGCCACGCAGGAATTGGATTTTCAGGAAAAATCCTGGCACTGAAGTCAACCCCTTGCATTGAAGAGAGAGTGATTGCTACATGGGCGCTGCCATCAGTCCAACACTGGTTTTATGGTGTTTCAAGTATTGTACTTCATTGGTTCCGTTTCGAAAGGTGTGGTATAATTACTGGAGCTTGGTGAGGGTTGTTTGCTTGATGCTTCAAGATATCCTCCAGTAAAATAACATAGCTATGAACAATTCCCCATTTATTGATAAGTTTCCGAGCTATAAACCTCCATTTATAGGCGCATTTTCGCTTGCCACGTTTGATTGCCAGAGGGTAATGTCCAGAGAAAAAAAACTGTAAATCAACGTCAAATATATGATCGTTTCAACTGCCATTGACTGCGTTCGACCAAGAGGCTAGCCAATCCCTCCGGACGAAACCCTGCATCCCATCCACTGGTTGATAGGTGCTTAATACCCTCGCATCTAAACAACTGGGCTATCTACTACTGTCTATGTCATTGACGTGTTTTTATAGGGTTATATAATCTCCTGTACTTATTTTGATGCTTTATTTACCCTGCCACGTTGTGCCACTTTCGTCGGGTTGGAAGGCCAGTTTTCCAATAGTTGCGGGAGTGGTATTCCATTTACACTCTGGTAAACAAACATAGCTATTGAAAATGGCAATTTATAGTTGATTTACCCATTAAAGATGGTGGATCTTTCCATGGTTCTGTTAGTTTACCAGAGGGTATAATTCATCGAATGCCCAAGCTTGAAATTTCATGCCACAGGTCCCATATTTCAACCTCTTTGGGATTTCCCAGCTTCATATTCCCAATATTCCCCAATGGGATATCCCGATCGAAAACTATCTATATAAGTCTATAAGTCCATTATAGAAGACACCACCAATCCCCAAAAATTTGCTGGTAAAGTCCCCATTTTTGCTCATGGAATCGCATTGAATATCCCATAATATATATATATTATATATTGTATACCATCTACTCTCGAACCAGTGGGATTTCAAGGTTTTTTGTTGATATCTTGGTTTTGGCATTCATAACCCAGAAATCTAAGCCATCTAAAAAACATCATCAAATAACCGGGTTTTCCATATATGCCCCATTTTGCCACCCAGGTGCCTTGGCTGCAAGAGGTTCCACCAGCCATTTTGGCCATGAAAACAACGAACATCATATTGATGATGAGATAATAGGATACCAATCAAGCACAATTAGGAATAGCCAGAATGAACACTGGATTTCAAATCATGGATAAACCTTCCAGATGCCATTGAACATCTACAAGAAGTGGTTGACTTCAGGAAGATGTAACCATATTAAGGCTTCAGGCCTACATCCCATTATTTTGACTGATATCGTAAAGAGCAATATTATGTTCACTCCCGGTGGGCAATTGCCCCATGATCTTTTGCACTGCTGCGATCGCACAGATTGTCAAGAACTCAGCTGACATGACCTGCCGGACAGAGGATCCCATTCGCTCATGACTTGGCTAGAGCCGGTAGGGCTGAATACAGCTGATCTATCGATCCTTGAAAAATGTATTCAATAATTTATCAATGGGGTCATGGATTGGATTGCGGATTCTTGAAACAGACACATCAACTTACATAACATTCCTTAATCAACTTAGCTGATGTGAGTTCAAACATGTTGCATGACTTGGCATGATTGGCATTGTCAATTTGAACAAAGCATGCGTTTCCCCGGCTAGTGATTTTGCCCAACGGGATCCAGTGGTGTTTCCGCAGCTGGAAGTGCCATGCCTCGACGAAGTGCTGCAGATCCCAGGCGACCGGCCTGCAGCATTGATCGGGTGCATCGAGAGTGGAAGGAGGCACCAGCTGTTAGGTTGGTGTCAGTCAAACGGGACCGGCTTTTTGAATCCTCCAAAGACAAGGACAATACCACAGCTTCAAGCATCAAGTTTTGTATCAAAGATGCTGTTCACAACCAATTTGTCCTTATCCCTCTACTTCGACGCATGGCAGCTCATGAGACACACCCTCTACCACCCTTGAAAGCCCTGGCACAGGAGACCCTTGGTCTGTATTTCTAGAATTGTCAAGCGTTACTGTACTTGAGCTCACACTGAAATTTTGGGTGGTTCAAACTTCAAATCTGTTGTTATTGAATCAACATGTTTTACCACGTGTGTACATTCCCTTCTTGGGTGATCCTAGGATCAAGTTGTTCCGGCACAAGATGAGCTTGGTTTGTCAAAAAGACCGGATTAAACTGGATGCGTGGACGGCCAAAAGCATGCTATCCTTCATCAAAATGAAGACCCATAAGAACTTGGGTTCGGTGGATTCTTGGATGGATTTAGTTGTTCGAAGGTTTTGAAATTTGGTTGGATTTATCCCCAATTATATTGAAAGCCCTACACAATTTATAAGTTGAAGGCCAGACAAAAGCCTATATACAAATCTTCGATATCTAGTTGACTTGATTCTCTTTTGGGGCAAGCTATATAACTTGAATCTAGAACATATATGGTGGAAACAGAATCCGCTCCTTGATCCAGGATCTGGACTTTCTGGCCCTCCAGCACATCCTCAATCCTGCGATCCAGGCTTGGTATGGGGAATGTATTGCATGAACTGTTATTTTGAAAACTGCAGTATATCCACACATCGGCCCACATTAGTTGATTTGAGGCAGTGGTGAGGCTATTGAGTACTTAAACTTGGCCTTTGGGTGTCTTAAAATTGCGTATCAACTCATGTGTAGCTATTGAAGTCATGAAATTTGACTTTCACAAATCAACCTTTGATTCCTTAAATTTGATTTAGCAAATGGTTTAGTTTTATGCTTGTTGTATTTCCGGACCCTTAAGTATTATATTAATTGTCCAGGTTTGCATCAACTTTCATGTATGAAAATGAGAATCAGAGATCCAGCATATAGACCTTCACTATTCCCATTGATTCTTTTGACCCTGACATTATGAACCTATATAGTCCTTTCTTGTTGTCTGCTTGCTTGCAGCCTCGAAATCGACTTCCAGCTGATGGTGATCAACCAGATGATTCTGATGAAGATGGTGATGGACTGTTCTTACCGAGGGATGAGGACGGGATCACTATGGGGCCTGAGGACCATGTGGTGTTCAACCCTGATGATGAGTCGGGGAGCGACGATGATGGATGGTTTGATCAACTAGTTGAGAGGAAACTAAGTGATCTGTCTGATCTTGGTGGTGATTCCCAGCCCCTAGAAGATGGCATCCATGCTGTCACTGATGACACCCAACAAGAGCTGCACGATTTCATGGACACTCAGCTGCCCTTTCATTCGCAAGTGCTTAAGATGGATGAGAACTTGTTTGACCCTGATGCCAAAGGTGGGGACAACATGGAGGAGGTTCGCCCTGTTGCACGCCCCTTGAAGTTGTCTGAGGACAGTCTTTTGGGCCCAGCTCCCGAAGCTATCACACCTGAGAAGCCTGCCTATGTGGAGATCCTGGATTCCCCAGTTCCCATGCCTGCAGTTCCTCCCACCAGCAAGGAATGCAAAGCAGAGCGCATCGCACGTTTGCAAGCCCAAATTGCAGCTTTGGAAGCTGAGTTGGATACCCCACCGTCCGGAACCCCAGTTTATTGGTGTGGGCCCAAGTGGTTTAATCTTGTGTTTATTTATCCAAGAATGTTGTAGTGTAGAGTGCTGCTTTGAGACTTTGAGCGTTTTGTGATTTAGAATTGTATGCACTTCATAAAGTTTATCATGAATTTATTTGTGACATACATGCATGTGAATGACAAACCGCAGAGCCAGCTGTATGGAATATGGGATTGAGATCCTGTGAATTTCTCTAACTTTTCCCAACTAAGGCCTGGCCACAAGATCAAGTTGCCTGAGGTGGTGTCCGCTGGATCTAGCACAGATAAGGTTAATGTATGGCATGTCATGGACTCCTTACCTATGGCGCATGATGCTGACCAAACCCTCCCCATGACCACGGATGAAGAGATTCCAAGCTCTGTGGGGATTCTTCTAATGAAGGAAGACATGGAAGTAGCCCAGCACATGGAACGGTTGAAACATGATTCAATGACCTTGGACCCTGAGAATGAGATTCGTCCCAAGGCATGGTTTTTGAAAACAGCTATGGTGCATGCATGTATTTATCTTATGATGCATCTTTGAAACTGTTTAAAAATCATCAAATAGATTTATTATATAAATTATCAATTGGTTTTTGAATTCATATTATATATGGGGGATACTTAAGACATCCTGGGTTCAAACAACATTCCTGCTAGGTTCTCACTCGTCGAGAGCAACTTCGAATTGCCCAGGAAGAGAAAGCTGACAAAGCGGAGAAGAAGACCGTTTCCCGGGGAGGCGGACGTGGGAGAGGTCGTGGAGGACGAGGGAGAGGAAAGAAAAGCATTGGGGAATCTGAGGCTCACTCTTCTGCTCCTGAGATTGTTCCAGAACCTCACCAAGCCACCCCCCAAAAGGGTTCAAGTGGTGGGGACATGGATGCCAAAGTTTGCAAGAGACCAGCTGAGCAGCAAACACCAGAACGCCGACAGCTTTTCCGTGATGATGATACCAACATGTCCCCATCCCCAGCGAAGGTTGTTTCGCCTCCCATCAAGCAGCCCAAGAAAAGAATTCGAGCTGCGGCCAAGCCCAAGCCCAAGGCCAAAGCAGCGGCATCGACTGCAAAGGTGGAGGACATGAAGGAAGCTGAGGAAGGGAAGTGCACAGTAGAGGGGGAGACAGGTGAGGGTGGTGAAAGTAATGAAAAAGGGGAGAAGGAAACCAAAAGCATGCGTGCCCCATCGGAGAAACTTAAGAAATGGGCCTTTGACACCTTGACCGAAGCAAAGGGTGATCCAGCCTCATGGTTTCATGCCCAGAAACTTTTTGAGGGTGTCAAGCAGACTGAGAAATCTTGTTTGGCGAAGTGGACCTATTGGCAGAACAGCATGTACTGGACTACTCGTCGTGTTGGAGTTCTTCAAAAGCAGACCCGGGGGGGGAACAAAACATGTGCTGAGCTTTGGTGGTGGCCACTGCAAGCATATCGGTATTCCATTTGTTGCATCGGAGTTATTCGTTCGCAACTTAATTGCTTTGAGAAGCACTTGCCAAAACATTTCGAGATCTAGTCCAGTACTTGCATGTGCATGATATGCATTCATGGTATGCATGTACATCAAGTGACATGTGCATTTAGGCAGTGGCATGGTCTTATCCAAAAACTTTGTTGGTGATATCCAGCTGTAACTTCTTCGATCCATTGATATCTCAATCAATATATGGTGTGAGTTTAAGCTAGTAAATTGTTTTAAACATGTGCATCCTCTACAGTCAAACATGTACGAAACTGTCTTGAAGCACCAAAGGTATGAAGTCTTGATATTATATAGGACTTAACCCAACTAGTTGTACTTTTGCCCAGGTCAACTTCATGGGCGACAAGGAAGCTGAGAAGTGCAAAAAGATTGATGATGATGAGGTGGTGGCCTACAAAAAAGCGCTTACTGATCTCGTGAAAGCAGTTTCGATTGCTGATTTCTTGGGAAAAACCCTTGGGGACTTCAACCACTGAATTGGCTTCAACATGAAGGGTTGAAAAATCTAGTTTCACGGAAAGTGTTCCAGTCATTTGAGCATGCTATAAAACTATAAAGAATTTTCATCTCTGTGTTTCCTAGATCGAGCTGACATGTGTGTATGTACCATTATTATGTACCTACGGTTTTGTTTCTGAAATGCTGCCAAAGCCAGTGGTAGTTTTAGATCTAGATCCAGTGACTTCAGCCGGTGTGCAAGTGGCACTATCAAAACTTGAGGTATTTCAGGCCTCATGCTTGCGGGAGTGGCTTCGTAGGTAGCAAGTGCACAATAGCTGCTTCGAGGGAATGCCAATTGTTAGGGCCACACAGGATGGAAGAACTTACTTACTCCGTGTTTTTTTAAATCTGTGCGCTCATTCAGAAGATCCACAATCAGTGATTGATCTTTCACTTTTTCAAATATCCAATCCGTGCATGTGCAATCCATGGTGTGCTGGCCATCAATTGAAAGTAAAGGTAGCTTGGATGGGCATGTGGGCCTAGTGCGTGCTTTGAAGCCCAGGAACCTGCTGGCGTGGACCTACAGTGAAAAAGTAATGCATGCCTGTCTGCAAATGCATGTGGGATGGTTTGGGTATCAGTTTCGTGCGAAAATCACTGTGATATGTTCCCAGCGCGGTATTCAAAAGATTGTTCACTTTCAAACTTATTAATCTATGATGTGTTTTGAATTTTGCTTTGGACCTGGTCGAATTTTCATCGAAACTTGAAAGTATATATATATGTTGCAAGAAAAATACACAAATTGCATATTCGAATTCGTTTTCCAATGAGGTACAAGTTACATCATCAAATCACCTGTTACTGAACAATTCCCACAATCCATGCCCCCATACTTTCATGCAATGCATGCATGTGGGCCACTTGTCCTCTGCCAAGGTCGAGAGTTATGGGAAAGCGCAAAGCCTGGCAAGCCCGCTTGGAGCGGGTAGATGAGGAGGATGGTGAAGCCGGCAATTTTTACAAATCTTGATCCTCTTTAGAGATTCTTTTGGACCAATAGTCATGTGCAAACCAACATCATACCTGTATCCCTTAAGATAATTATTACAGATCGAGGAAATGCAGGATTCATTCCAGCTGTTTGGTATGAACCAAGTTTAGTCAACCTTTGCACTGATGCACCATGTGAACTCCACTTGCAAGATTCGCAACGTCCAAATTAGACTATCTTTGGCTCCTTACATAGGAAACCAAGGGCCAGCTAGGGGTGCTTCAGCCATTGATTTGCTAGCGCTGATTGGCTTGACTGAGCCATGGTAAACCGTTTGACCTTACCTGGCCTGGTTTGGCGATTGGGATGCGTGAGAGCTCCAAAGGCCGATATCTTGTGAAATGGTCTTTGGGGAACATATCAAATGGAGTTAGTTTTAATGGGAGTTTTTAAACTTGCATGTGATCCAATTCATATATATATATATATTATAATATATATATAGTATGAAACTCACCTGAAATCTCAAAGTATTTTAGCCTCACATACATAAACAACACTTAATCCAGTTTGGGTATAAACTTGCAGTTTGATATCGATCTATCACATTTATGATAATTGTGTTCTATCAAGTTCTATCCATTTTTGTTTATTTATTCTGCATTGCATTTATCTGGTTCATGCAGAGCATACATGTATGTGCATGAACAGCACGCTCCACCCGCGAGGTGCTTATCACTTTGGTGTTGCTCCTGCTGTGGTCCTCGAACATCCAAACCCTTACCGAGGCTTGAAGGGATCATGCGCATGTGACTTAAAAGAAACCGCTGATCATATTAACTATTATATATATAGCATGGAAACCCTCAACTGGTGGTTGCACTATGTTTTGGATTTTCATAATCATGCATATATAGCAGATTATATGGAGTCATTCGCAGTGGTTTTCAAAAATATCAAAAATAACGATTTAGAATTCCAACTCGTTCCTGCATGGAAATATTCCCATATATTCCCCGAATATTGAATAGCATAGATATAACACATATTTCCACGGGTTTTGCACGTTTCCATGCATGCATGTTGCACATACCCTGCAGTCCTATGACTTTATCGAACTTTGGGCTGGCAAAGCACTTACAAGCACATGCATTCGTAAAGCTGGTCGTGCCACAGCTGCTCTGGATATCGAGTACTTCGTTCCGAACCCTGACCATCCCCAGAGATCCAACCACTTTGATATTCTTACAGCTTCGGGGTTTCTGTCACCCAAAGATGTTTAGTTAAGTTGTTTTACCAACCCAAGGTTTTCCTGGCTTCTTATTTTCAAAATTTTACCCCAAATTTGTGTGGTTTATGGTGGCAAGGTTGGACTTGTTTGAAACCGTTATTGAACATGAGATACCATGAGCATTGAGTTGAGGTTAGCCTTGGCAACAATTCTAAATGCCAAGCATGGAGCTTTTTCGATCCTATGCGGCATTGTGTGCAGCTCATGGACCACCATCAATATGGCAACATCATCACGAACCACATGTACTCCACTTGGCAATGAGTCCCATGAATACGTAAGGCTTGCCAATTGTATGGCTGCCCGGTTTCTTGTAGAAAATTGAAGTGCTGAGTTTGTGCATGTATATATATATAATATATAAATTGCAAGTCTTTTTTTGGAAATAATATGGGATACTCAGCAATCGTTTATTTAAACGAATTCACCAGCTATAGTGTTTTGTATGAGCTCACTCCACCAGCCGCAAACCCAGGTTGGCCTTGCTATTATTCTTAGTGGAAGCCATGTCTGGAACCTGGCTGGTGGAACAGCCGAGCTTGTCGATGCTCAGGTTTCATCCAAGGGTCATGATGGTGTTCAGCCATTTAAGAGAACCACGGTTTCAATTTAATTGGCTGCTGTTCTTTTTGGGAATTGTGTTGTAACTTACAGGTTGCTCTTCACAAACCATGGTGCCAATGAATGTATGGAGTCAGAAATCTAAATTGCATATGGGAATCCAACCGTTTTTGAAGCGCATACAGTACTTGAAAGAACATGTGGAAACCATGTTTCAAACCCTGTTATTTTTTTTTGTTTGGGGTTGCCAATCTGGTATGAGTTGCTTGATTCGATCCGAGCTGGAGTTGATACTTCTTATATATACATGCATGCATGCATGCATGCATTAATTAAGATAATTATGTTGAATCTTGTTCAAGGATGTCAAACATGTTGGGATCTTTCGCACATGGCTAACATGAAGCCCCTTTTCTGGGATTTTCTGTGTTGAAGGAATTCGATACAATTAGATTTTGATAGTAACGGCCATACTTGTGCATTGATTGGGTAATCACATACATGAGTGTAAGTATTCGGATATGTTAAGAATACCATGCACCACCATCGATGTAACAATTCAAAGAATCAGACCTAGTAGCAGCAAGGGCGGTGGAGAGGAACACATATCATTGCCACCCCACAAGACCAGCCTCTTGTTGTTGATGCATGGTGATTGGATATTACATGTTGTTGACACTTCCCCGTGGAGTTGAGTTTTATCATCAGTTTTGGCCCATTCGAAAAATATGGTAAAATTCCTTCATGGTTTTAGGCCCAATGCATCATTCTAACGTGGGATTCACCACCAATTTGAATGAATGGGGGCCAATGCAAATAAATTATGCATTTACACCGCTAGCTGAGGAATCAAATAGTTCAATCCTCCCTATATAGCATTCTCATACACCATGCAAGCACTCTGCCGAGGCATGGTCGGCAAGGTGGTGGATGGCGAGCTACAAAGCCAACACCCCCAAGAGGCATGTTGCATGGAGCAACAGCCGCGCCGTGGGACTTCTTGACTTGGGAAAGCTCAAATTTGATTATTCCAACAAGGAGTACAAGAAACACAAAACGACAAAGAAGACCATTTCAAAAAATGGGAGAAAACAATGGACTGGTCAGAAAAGGCAGTTGAAAAACAGCCAGCATCTCAATTTTGATTGGACAATCTTTTCCTGTTAGATTTGGAGTGGTTTGGGGCGCCACCAACCGAAGCTCAGACATGTTGTTATCCTGGATCAGGTTTGGAAAATTGGTTGATGTAGGAGTCCACGGGTTACCCATGTAATCCCACGTTAATTTATACATTTCCCTTTGGTTCAACGATATTAACCCATCGCTAGATGATCTAAAATATTGTACATATCAATTTGAGGATCAAGTATATAATTTTTATCCCAACAAAAGCATAGATATAATTTTTAACATGTACTTTATGCAGAGAGGGCACTCCCAGTTGAATCTTACACCGCTGGCTCATCCCATCCACAGCTGAGCCAAGGCACTACCCTTACAGATTTGGATTGCGTGTGCTTCGCATCCTGCCGCAATTGCAAAGCCATGGGTGCACAAGGGTCTTTGACGAGATGCCCCAACGTTTCAGCCCCCTCAAGCTCTACCAAGAGTTGGAGTTTGATGATTTGTGGGAAGATGCGGAAATCCCTGCAGTATTGGAATACATTTCGGGGAACAAGCATCTCAGGATTCCTCCAGAATGGAAGGATCATTTGCTTCCGTAGCTAGAGGCTTTTGCAAAGCAGCTTTTTTAGGAGCTGCAGTATTACAAATTTGGAGCCACCTGTAGCTCACCACCAATTTATAGTGCAGTTTTGGCCAGTGGGTTTGAAAACCGGGTTATAACACGTAGATACCCCGTAAATCAACCCGTAATCGTAGAAAACCTGTAGAACCCCCGTAGACGACCCGTGGAAAAGCGTAGAATTCTACGTAGTTTTACGTAATTTTTCCGTAATTTGAAAATCCGTATTTTGGAATGATTTTACCAAAAATGCTACAGGTCGGAGTGTTTTGAACGATTTTGAACCCACCCTGGTCAGCACGGCGTCTAGATTGCAAAGAC